GTTCTTAGTGAAATAATTCACATTGAAACAGCATGATTGTTTTAACACTAGAAAAAAAGCCATGCTAAAAACATAAAGCTTAATTGTATATTTTAGTTTTGCCATTATATAGACAGTAGAGGCCTGGTGGGGTCCCTTGGCCTGGCCTATGGGATCGGGCCAAAACCAGCTCTCTGAAACCCCCCGAGGGGTCCCAGGTTGTGAGAGGGTGCAGGCCAGGCCGAGGGACCCCACCGGTGTATGATTGGGGCTGGGGAGGGACCACAGGAGGGCTCCAGGGTGTGTCTGTCCCGTCTCTCTCAGTCCCAATCGGCCAAACCCCAGCAGCGAGCTAACCTATGAGTCAGACCGTAAGCCCCCTGGTGGTTAGTGCATGTCATAGTGACTGGTCAACTAGTCGACTGTCTGCCCCCTGGTGGTCAGTGCCCGTCATAGTGAGCAGTTGAGTGCCCTTAGCATATCATTAGCATATTATGCTTTGATTGGTTGAATGGACCACCAGACACTTAGCATATTAGGCTTTTATTATCTACACTAATAAAAGAGAAAGATGCAAATTGACCATACCTTCACAATGCCCACCAGACAATCAGGAGTGAGTATGCAAATCAGCGGGACAAAGATGTCAGTGGCCACAGAGACAGCCAGAGCGAGCGGGAGGCTTGGGTCACCCTTGGCAATGGAGGAAGCCAAGCTTCCCGCCTGCCCAGGCCAGCTACTGAAGGAGGGGCCTGTGAGCGGAGGACACAGAGCTGGCCTGGGGGCGCGGGAGGCTTGGCTTGCCATCGCCTGGGCTGGCTGCCGAGGGAGGAGCCTGCAAATGGCCCTCAGCCCTCACCCAGGCTGGCCAGGCACCCCGGCGGGGACCCCCACCCCGAAGGGGGTATGGCCAGCCTGAAAACAGCCCTCATCCTCTCACCCAGGCTGGCCACGCCCCCCAGCAGGGACCCTCACCTCATGAAGGTGTGGCTGGCCTGCAAACTGCTTCAGCCCCTTGCCCAGGCCAGCACCATGCCCAGTGGGGACCCCCGTCCCAATGGGGGAGTGCCTGGCCTGCAAACTACCACAGGCTCCTTGCCCAGGCCTCCCCGCTCCCCAAGGGAACCCCCACCCTGATCCGGGACACCCTTCAGGGCAAACCAGCTGGTCTCACCGGTGCACCGGGTCTCTATCTTCTATCTTCTATACTAATAAAATGGTAATATGCTAATTAGACTGGGAGACCTTCCAGGAGACCTTCCAGACGTTCTTCTGGACAAAGCCATGTCAAAGATGGCCACCCCATGTGGTCACAAGATGGCCACCACAAGATGGCCAGTAGGGGAGGGCATTTAGGGGAGACCAGGTTGGCAAGGGAGTGATTAGGGGGTGATCAGGCTGGCAGGCAGAAGCAGTTAAGGGCAATCAGACAGGCAGACAGGCTAGTGGTTAGGAGCCAGCAGTCCCGGATTGTGAGAGGGAGTCCGACTGCCAATTTAGACCCATCCCTGTGGGATCGGGCCTAAACCGGCAGTCGGACATCCCTCAAGGGGTCCCAAATTGGAGAGGGTGCAGGTCAGTGTATGAATTTCGTGCACCAGGCCACTCGTATAGGATAACCTTAGAAAATACCTAATTTTTTATTTAAATATTCATTACAGTTTGGATATTTACCTCATTTTTATAGCTAGAAAAATAAATCTATCATGCCGTTTCTTGTTGAAGCAAAGAAAAACATTTAGAAAGTAACAAGAAAATATATTTTTTTCTTAACACATTGCGTACCGCATAGAAATCTCTAAGACATTCGCCAGGGACCGCACGTTTTTGGGCAAACTGCACATTATTTAAATCATCATAATGCACTTTAGGTGTTGTTTTTCAATAATTATAACATTTTTATTTACAAAAACAATTAAACAATTAAAGTTCCTAGTACTTTTTTAACGTATGGTACTGTGTAAAACATTTTCCTCTATGAAGAGGGACCAAACAAAATTTACATAAGTATCTAGATTCGCTCCTTTTTCCATGGGTGTGAAAAACGGGAACACTCGTGAGCGGTCCTTAACAGATGGCGCGCGAAACACGAGAAAACTCCTGAGCGGTATGAAATGTGTTAAAGGGTCTTGAAGTTTAGAAACAGGCTGATTTGACTAAACATATGTCATTTCATTTGGAGATAATGTCTACAATATATCACTAATTATATACAAATATCACATATTTAGAGGGACTGATTGTTGCAGACTTTTATTATATTTTTGAAATTCAATTTAACGTGATCATGTGATCCATACTTTTATCTTTCGAGGGTGACTTATAATAACATGTTCAGAGCACACTAGTGCAAGTATTATATTTTTTCCTGTGGTCATCCTTATCAGGATGAATTCTAATATTGCAAATATGTACTAAAATTATACTGGGTTACAGAACTTTAAAGATGTGTACAGCTAGGTGCTATAATGCCACCCAAAATACCTGCCTGAATGAAGAGATGTATACTTTAACACACACTTTTAGAAGTGAGTATACTTCATGAGAGGAATTGTCTATTTTATAAGTAATTACAAATCACTTCTGTTTCATCAAACTGTAAAGTGATTTTGAATATGAACTAATATTGGGCAAATAGTGAAGAATGTTAAATTATAGCAGTAAATTCAGAAAGAAAGCCAAGCTGTTATTTTGAGCAAGTAGGCCTTCATGTTTTAAAATGCTGTTTTTTTCAATATGGAACAATTCTTATTTCCTCTGAAACATCGTTCATAAATAATTCTGGTTTGGAATTGTATTTTGAAGAAAGGAAGAAAGTTGTAACATCACATTGGAGTTTTGATTATTATATTGTATAATTACATAATTTCTTATTATATAATATAATTTAGATTTTAAAAAATAATATTCTGCTTTAAAAATTTTAACGAGGTCTTTCTTAAGATTCCTTCTTTCATCTCTAAAATCAGCAATTAAAATCAGTTTCAACTATTTGGCAAGTGGACCACATCTTTTGTTTTTCTCTCCCTGAATTGTGTTTACATTAGCTTTAAACACTTGCCTTGCAGAGAAAATAAACTTCTACATTCTTAGGGAAAACTGTTAAACTAAAAGATCTGACAAAGTAATTCTCAAATGAGTTTAAAGAACTTATGGCTTAAATGAATGTGAATTCTAATTTACTGACTTTGAGCTTGGCTGCTGTTTTTGATTAATTTGCATTTTGTACATTAATTGCTTCCCTCAATCACCTGTCAGATTTATAGTAGGGAAGTTATATTCTCTTAAACCCCACTCTATTATTCATTTAAAGGGAGATAAAAGATCAGTATAGAAAGTTAAGAAGTACACTGCAGTTGGCAAAATATAATAACTAGAATAAGCACATACACTTATATTATTTGTGTGTATATCTGTGTGTGTATGTATGTGCAATATACACATAGCTTAGGATATAGAACCATTGCAACTCAATAATAAAAGGTCAGACAACTGGAGTGTTTTAAAAAATGAGCAAAATATTTGAAAAGATATTTCACTGAGGAAGACATGTGCATGGTCAAAAAACTCATGAAAAGATACTTAAAATCATTAGTCATCAGGGCATTGGAAATTAAAACCATTATAAAATACAACTAGATACCCAGTAGAGTGGCTAAAATTTTAAAATACAATACTAAATGTTGGTGAGGAGGTAAAGCAACTTCACCTTTCATGCATTGCTGGTTGGAATGTAAAATGGTACCACCCTTTGAAAAAAACAATTTGGCAAATATTTGAAAAGTTAAATATATACTTACTTAACACATGACATCAATTATTTGTCTTAAGGGAAATGAAAATTAATGTCCAAAACTTGCACTCAAATGTTTATAGTAATTTTGCTAATAATATCCAAAATCCAACCCAAATACCTATCAATAGACGAATAGATACACCAAATATAGTACATCTGGAACAATGAAATACTATTCAGTTACAAAAAGGAACAGATTGCTGATACTTGCAATAACATGGGTGAATGTCCAAAACATGATAGTGAGCCAAAGAAGCCAGACACTCTATGACTCCATTTATATGAAACTTTAGAATAAAGATAAATCTAATATGGCCCTAGGGTGAAGTGATTTACTAGAAAGGAAATGGTATATTTTAGTTTGGTGGAAATATTCTATATCTTTATTAATGTGGTGTTTATAGGTTTATTCATTTGTCAAACTTATTGACCTTCACATTTAAAATAGATATATTTGTGTGAATTATACCTGAATAAAGATGAAAATTTTAGTTTTTACAAATTTTATTTATAGTTGATTCTTAAAGGAAAATAGCTCAATTGATTAAATGAACACCTAAACATAATATCAAAATTAAGTCCTGTTTAAAACTTCAAAACTTCTCCAAAAGAAATGAATTAATTCACCAACTCTCCTTATTTTAGTTTTTCTTTTTAAATCTAAAACTAACAAAACTACATTCCCCCCCCTTTAATTTCTTATCTCTAAAGTTTAGTAACTTACCAAAAAGTTAGTGCCTCTACTCTACATATATTTACCCACCTAAGGTATGCTATATCTCAAAAAGTTTTCATGCAGTTTTTGTGTTATAAAGAGGACATTACTATGGAAATCTTAAGTTCAATGGTACAGGAAATTAGGAGTTTGCTGCCATATGTAGAGCATCAAAAGTGTGTATAGTATTGTAATACATCTGTTTTGTTTTTTCCCAAGGTAATAATTTTTTTTATGATCTTGTGTTTTTTTTCCTTTCTGTTCCTTTGGGCTGCAGCAAAAATAACTTTGATTGCTCAGCTAACCTCTCCTGCCACCCAGGCCTGCCATTTTAAGTATAGAGGTGATTTTTTTTTTTTTTTTTTTGAGGCTTCATGGATCCTGACGAGATATCAATCTTGGTCACTTTGTTTCATGGATCCTGAAATATCAATCTTGGTCACTTTTCTTAGCACTTTTTTTTTTTACTGAACAGTCTAATTATATTAGTCTTCTTTAACCTTCCTACAGGTTTGTCATTGGGCGAGAAAAACCAGGACAAGTGAGTGAGGTTGCGCAGTTGATAAGCCAGACACTGGAACAGGAAAGGCGCCAGAGAGAGATGCTTGAGCAGCATTACGCCCAGTATGATGCGGACGACGATGAGGTAGGCAACCTGAGCAGACATTCTTTTCCTGCATTTCTTCTCCAGAGGTTCCTACTGTATAAAACTCTCTTTACTTTATAACAGGATGGCAGGTTCTTCGCAGTTTCCCAAGGAGCGTGTGTGTATGTTCAATCTTACGGAAAAGAAATATTACTTGCTTTTATTATTCACTTATGAATCAAATATTGGTATTCCTTTGACAGTGTGAAGACTTTGGAATCAAAAAAGTCATATTTTATCACACTATTTAAAGAAATTCACTGAAACAAAACAAAAAAGAGTAAAAACACCAAAATGCGAATGGTTGCTGTCTTTATGGTTTGAATTAGGTGGTTTTTTTCCCTCTGCTTTATGTTTTTGCAATTTTTATCAAATTTTCAGCCAGTATATAATGCTTTTTCAAAAAAAATCAGTAAACATTTACGTGAAAAAGCACACACATACAAACGCAGAAAAGCATTAAAAATCACTGAGGTTTTCAAGCTTTTCTTTTTGTCCAGGAAGAGAAAGTTCCTTGGATCTGCTCGCTATGATTTGTGCTAACACAATGCAGAACAAAGCTTTCCCACCAGCACATATTCCAGAGAGTAGATACATATTGGAATAATTTTGCATCCTGTTCTCTGTAGAAGATCAAGTAAATGAATAGAAGCTAACCCCCAAGTGAAAACGGCTGTCGGGAACCCTTGTGTGTTGTAATATAATACAGATGCTGGTCTATTTCTAATGTAAATGCCAAGCGTACATTGATATAATGGGACAACATGCTTTATTTTAAATGTGCATGTGTTTCATATTGGCATATCAAAAAATCCATCAGCAATTTAGTTGTAGTATTTCATACTTCATAAACATAGTAAATATTCAGGTAAAATAAATATTCTTTATCCCAGCTGATACAAGGACAGTGCAACTTCATATGTTCAGCCTCTATTCATCTGAATTTATTCTATGTTCAGAACTTTTTACATTCCTGGCCAAAATGTAGTGAAGATTAATAAACAGACATTCAAATATTTTAATGTATTTTTAATCTGGATGTTTTAACCCAAATGTATATTAATTTCTCATGTGCTTGTAGTATAATGAGGATGTACTCTCCATTTCTTAGAGTAGAAAATTTTAAATGGTGCATTAGTTAACTTTTGATCAAAGAGTACATGCTAGAAAGTCTTCATGTAAAAGTCTCTCATAATCCTATTTTGTTGATTTTATTTATTCACTTGCAGAATTCATTGGAAATGGCAAGTATTTTTTATTATATTGAGATATTATATATGAAAATGTATCTTGGATTTAGAAACTAAAAAAGTGTTTTCCTCAGATGGTTGAACGTTCATCTTACCTAGTCTTCCATTCTTTGTGCTAGTGTTTTATGTTTTAGCAGACATACTAATTTGCTTTAGCTACAAGTCTATTTTAGGATGGTAGAATCATCTCTGCAGGTCTGGTTTTTACCTGCTCACTCTGCTAGAAAGAATTTGGAGCTGAGGTGCAGGGAGTAGGGGTGACATCAGTGGTGGACTGAGGAGACCAAGCTTTCTGGTCTCTGTGGGCCTCCGTGTCTCTGGCTGTAGAGCACAGGGAATTGGATAAATCTCTGAATTTTTTCCAGCTTCTAATATTCCATGAGCCTATGAAATAAAGCATCTGGTGAAACAAGGAAAGAGGGAAAGTAAAATAGTTTTTAAGGTTCGTCAAGTGAAATTTTTTAGATCACATACTACGTACTTCTTCCAGTACATAGGAATGAAATCACATTCATCTCCCAGAAGTTTTCAATTCAAACAGGTAAAGTGCTCGTTCTCTCTCTTTCTCTCTTTCTCTCTCTCCCTCCCCCTCTCTCTCTTTCTCCATATAGATATGAATATAGATATACACATATCTTTGTATATTATTTTCTAATGTAATAATTTTAGTAAATGCAAAAGGAATGTTTGTTACTCAACATTTATACTTAAAAAACATCAAATAAATTTTTTTTGCCAGTTTTTGTAAGGAAAGCAGAGTTGATTGTCACTTAAGCAGATCTTTTCAGGGGGAACAGGGGTAAGTAAGTATTCAGTGCTGGCCACCTGGCAAGGTGCCTTTCCCCACATAATTTCATGTATCTTTACAGCAAACAGAAGAGATTCTTTTTTTCTCTAGAAATGCAGCAACTGAAGCTTTTTCTGGTAGTTGGCAGAGTTCGGATGGGAAGAGGGATCTTCCTGGCTCCAAGGCCTGGACTCTGCACCACGCTGCTCTTTCTGAACAGAGTGGACTGAGGGGTCTGCCGTGTTTAGGCGCACACAGATAATTGGGTAACGAGATGCTGCAGAGAGGGCTCTTGTTTAAGGTGAGGGAGTATCTTTTAAGAATTTCATTCTGTGACTCTGTCCTATATCCTATCTAATAAAGGGTAATATGCAAATTGACCATCACTCCAACACACAAGATGGCTGCCCCCATGTGGACACAAGATGGCCGGCAGAGGAGGGCAGTTGCGGGTAATTGGGCTGGCAGGGGAGCAGTTAGGCATCGATCAGGCTGGCAGGGGAGTGGTTAGGTGTCGATCAGGCTGGCAGGGGAGTGGTTAGGGGATGATCAGGCAGGCAGGCAGGCGAGCTGTTGGGAGCCAGCAATCCCGGATTGTGAGAGGAATCCCAGATTGGAGAGTGTGGAGACTGGGCTGAGGGACACATCCCCCCGCCCTGCACGAATTTTGTGCACCAAGCCTCTAGTTTCTAATAATAAGGGAATCTAATTCTTAGAGGGTTTTTTACTCTAGGCAAATGCTTAATCCATAAGTATCCTATGAAGATAGGACTTAAAGAGTATACAAACATTTTACAAAATATTGTAGAAATAGAAATCAGGTGCTACTATGTTACTCCAAGTAACCCTCACTTTACTGAAATGGTCACAGAGCCTTTTCCTCTGTCTCTCTCACTCATGCTCCTCTCTGACTTATGTACTCCCTCTCTTGCTGTTCCACACCACCTCACCCAAGTGTGCCAAGCTGAAACCAACTGTTAATTTTCTGTGCATAGGAGAGATGAAAGCTGTACAAATGATTAAAAGTCACTCTTGTGTAAACACGTTATCTATGTGACTTAAATTCATTTCTTTTACTAATGCTACCAAATATTTTTTAATTGATTTGAGTGTTGTGTCCCTATTTTTTATTTACTCTCTTTCTCTGTTAATAAAAAGTAAAATGTCCAAAAAATGTAATGGAAATGAAATCAATCAATACTGGTTATCCAGTGGGTAAATGGCCCTTGAATAATTTAGTTAATTTGATATCTACTTGAGCAATTCATTGATTTACATATCTTTGTTAATCCTGAATTATATAATCAATCATTTGGTTTCTCATGCTTCCTATTTATAGAATAATTCTGTGATTTCAAAGATAAAATCATTTTTATTTGACAGTATCCCCTGTGACATTCCCTGGGCCAGCGAGGAAAACCTCTAATTAAATGCAGAACAACCAAGTTCATCCAAGTAATTCCAGCGCCAGTATTTAGATCATCATTGTCTACAAAGGATAGATAGCTTCTGGTTTTGGTCAAATCATCCAAGGTTGAGTCTAACTTGGAACTTGTCACATTGACAGAGGGGAGTTGCTTGCTTGAATTGTCTACAGGGAAAACATTGTAATGTGATAAATATATCCAGAAATTGTGAAAGTACAGTGGAACCATAGTTGGGATTAAAACTACTTTATCATGTATTGTGTGTGCTTAGATATATCTGGCTTAATGCTTTAGGAAAGCATAAATGATACTCCAAAAGAATTAAAATATAGAGATAATTCCAAACTCTAAATTTCTGCATTTTTGTAGGCTTATCTTCTCCAAGTGTTTAAACTAGAAGAGTTTATAATAAGCAAACAGCCAATTCAACATAATTTGCATTCCTATATCTTTTTACACTCAATGTTAAACATTCTGATTCTTTAAAAGCAAAGTGGCTTTTTAAAATGGCTCTACCTAAAGGCTAAAAGTGGCTTTTAAAAATGGCTTGTGAAAATGGTTTTACCTAAAGGCTAAAGAATAAAAGAGATCCTACAAAGAAGAGGAAGATAAATATCTGAAAAATTGAAAAATGTTAAATGTAGATCTGTGTTTAGTGTTTGCATTTCTGGATTTAATAGAATTATTGTTCATTTCCCTTCCTTCCTTCCTTCCTTCCTTCCTTCTTTCCTTCCTTCCTTCCTTCCTTCCTTCCTTCCTTCCTTCCTTCCTTCCTTCCTTCCTTCCTTCCTTCCTTCCTTCCTTCCTTCCTTCCTTCCTTCCTTCCTTCCTTTTTCTTTCTTTCTTTTTTTCTTTTTTCTTTTTTTAACAATCTGAAAAGTAACCATGGAGGATTTCAGTAAAAACCCTCAAACAGTTAACACTGTCCCATGAAATTCTGGGGTATGGTAAATTTTTCAACTAGATTTTAATTTTCAATAACAAGTTAAATCTCCCGTCATACTCCACAACAATCAATCTTTAGCATTTGAGTGGTGAGATGATATAATTCTGGCATGGTTTGTGTACTGTGTGTCTCCTATGCATATTTGGGGCATCTCTATCAGAGAGTATTTTGCAATGTGAAACGCTGTGGGCTCAGACTGGAAATGAAGTCTGAACTGGTACTGTACCACTTTTTTAAATTAGAAAATAAATATGGTCATTTACATTAAAATGAGCTATTTTACATGCACATTTAAAGTTATCTGATTATTTTGCTTTTGCCTCTTTCTGTATCCTTTTAAACTATACTATTTATTACATTTTAAAGGCTTAGATTATAGATGGCATTTCAAAGTCTCTTTAGGCAGTAGTTCATAACTATGTTAATCATCACTCCAGTAATGGAGGCCCCATTTTTTTAAAACATAATTCAATCTTTCTATAATTTCTTTCCATTACTGGAAATTAATATCATTATAACTATATTATAACAATATTAGTTAATTTTTTAGAATCTTTAAAAGTACTGAATACAATTTGGAGCAGCTACCTACATGTATATGCATTTTCATTGCTTGTGTTAATGTAATAATCGAAGGCAAAAATATAATGGAAGCTATGGTTTGCACAAGTGTTAAAAGGTTTACAAGAATAGAATTTTTATGTGAAAAGCATTAAAGGGATAGCATTATATTTGACTCATGCTGTTTGCTGTTCCTGGTTGAAAACAGCTTGTGTTGTGTGAACAAGAGATTGCAGTTATTATGGATGGCTTTTTAACAATGTGAATTGACTTTATTCTGTGTTTATAAGAGTGGGGGCATTCTCTTAGTTCTTGAAAGTGTGTGCTACAGCAGGCACTGGAGCGTCAGTGGTTTGTTTCTTATCCTTTACCATTAGGCTGCTCTCTTTAGTGGGGTAAATCCTTCTTTAATTTTTGTTGTCAACTATTTTAGAACACGGTGGCTGACTTGCAAGGAGTGTCTGGCAACTGCAATAACAATAACAACTATTTCCTTAAGGTTTGTTTTCTGGTGGGGAATAATGCTTATCTGTACCTTCCTGCTTTGTGTGTGAAATGAAATAGTCTCTGTCTTATTAACTAGCTTTATGCTCACAAGATCTTCTCTAGAGCTGTGTGTTGTGAATGTTGAATAATAGTTTGAGGGTTATTGTTTGAAAAATAACATTTAATTCTGAAACTTGAGTCTACATATCTTAGTTGCAGAACTGGACTCACTTCCTAATATTTAACCACGGATGTTTTTAACCCCTAACACTTTAAATATTTTGTAATTCATATTAAAGGGAAACAAAAGACATCTAAGAACAGAGCTGTATGATGTTGGTATAATACAGCATACACAGTAACTTACATTGTTTTTAAATCCAGCAATTTTCTTTTAATACAACGTTCTTAATTAAAAAAAAATACATACATCTTTAAATTATCATAGTACTTACTTACATGGTCTATATGGTGGACATGCCAAAATGTCTAAAAATGTGTTATACTATAATTAAAATAATTATCATTATCTTTAGCTGCCAGTAAGAGAGAGGAGGTTGAAAAGAGAAGTCAGTTTTTTTTTCTTTTTCTGAAACATATAAAAAGATGCCCAACCATATAAGCAATGAGGATGTAGAAATGAAAAACCAAAATGAAATATGTCATACCTACCGAATTGATTTAAATGGGATATTTTACGTTTGGGCGAGAATGTGGGGTAAAAGGACCTCTTATTCTCTGCACATAGGAACATAAATTGGCCCAACAACTTTGAAAAACCTTTGGC